TATACGTAACGTGATTACTTACGTGCCTGTGGTACGGTATTCGTTGCACCGAATATCACTATGAGTTTTCCCACTTTTGCAACACAAAGTATTCCCTTGCTGGTAAATCAGCTTTGCTTTGCTCTTCTTTCCTTCTCGTTATCTTTCACCTTTCACCGTTTCACCTTTCCAGAAGCCCATTAAAGTATGCATCGAAGAGTACGGAAATTGCCTTTTTTCGGAGCTCCGCCCAGCTGAAAGCTCTCTGCGCACCGGCAGCTCTCGTAAGTTGAATATTGAAAATTAGCTAAAGCTGAGATATTAATGTGCAAATTGCATTTTCCTCTGTGGCGGATCACATTTTCTGAATAGGGCTAGCTCCTTCTGAGCTCCTTCGACGAAACTGTGACTCCCATGGCCAAAGTTGGCGGTCTAGCTGCTCCTTGGCTCCTCCATCAGTAAACGGGAGTTTAAGCACAAAAATAATTACTTTTCATTAACATGGCCGGCCAGGGCCCATTGCCATTGCCTGCACCTGCTCTCGCGGCCGTGGTCGCTGCCGAAAACCGGAGGGGCGGACAGACAAAGGAACGGAGAGCAGCACGGACAACAGGACGGGTAACGGGTGGGGTGAGGAGGGGAGGGTAAATTAGAAAATACATTTTTCAGCATTAAAAACTGTTCGACGTGCGGAGATTGCGGTAATTTCGCTTAACAGTTGCTCGGCACACGGACACAGATGCAGACACAACCTGCACACGCTTCGACACATGCTGCAATGGCAGTCAAACACACCTGCTGGCCGAAGGGCGGTGGTGGGCAGATTTGGGACCTGGCACGGGGCACGGCCCTCGGGAAGTAACCAACCATGGGGGCAGTACTAAGTGTCGAAAGTGCAGACCCATCGTCGGATGGGGCATGGGCGTGGACGAGGGCGTTGGCGTTGGCGTGGGCATGGGGCACGACAGCAGCTGGCACTTGACATGAGCAACGGCAGGGAAACAACTCGAGGGCTTTCCACTACTCTCGCGTATTTCGCTTCCGCTTAGAAATGGCAAAAACACATCCCATCCCCACTCTCATGCACAAGTAGATATCCTTACATGTACATAAAAATCCTTGAAAAATATTCCAACTAAAGCGAACTGAAATGAGATACAGACAACGAAAACACGAAACAGATCCAGTCCCAAAGTCAGAGAGCGCTGGCGGGTGGCAAAATATTTATAACTTAATTTCAGATTGTGTCTACTTGACTGGCATCAGAACGCAACTGTCACGTGGAGATTCAGATATGAATTCTTTATCACTTAATTGGTCTTTATTTGCATTGATAGTGATAGTTAATAATAATTGAATTTCGGGAAATAGACTAAAAACTAATTGCCCGAAAGCGGATACAAAAGCATTGGTGATTTATAGCTTAATATTGAATTATTACGGAAAATATTTGTATAAAAACTAAATATCATCAAAGATTAAACGTGTATTAACCTCATCCAGGCGGCGTACAGGGTATAAGACGAGTTAGGCTCAACAATATGGCTAATGTATTTGAAAGCTTTTGGCAAAAACATTAAGGAAGAAAGAATTTCACAAACAAAAAAATATATTAAAAGTAAGGCAACACAATGCGGCTTGGCTCGTGAGTTTTGAAGTGCCAGTGCCCTGTACTCACTCTGTTCTTCCGAGCTCCGACCTAAGTGTAGCTCCAGGTGTCGGACAGCTGGTCCTGTTCCCACGCATTCAGAGCCTCACGAGAATTCCATGCGGCACAATGTCAATCCGAAACAACGGCGGCATTACGTAAGCCTTAAATTATATTTTGACAAATCATTCGGCAAACAAAGGAGCGAAAATGATGCTGTCAATAAGGCATAAAGGACGACTAAGAGGATGAACCTTTGGCTGCATCAATCATAAATATTTTAAGCCGCAAGCATTGGCGATGACTTTGTATCTCTGTTCCTGTGTGTCTGTGTATGTGTTCAAAGCGAGTGCTCGTGTGGGTGGGTGGGTGCTTCGTGTTTGCGTACCTAATTGCATTAGCCAGGCAGGCATGTGTGGCCTTAAAAGCCAAGACAAGGCTCGATAAGCTTTCGTGCGAATGCTGTCGGCTAGTGGCATTTGCGTCAATTATGGAGTTTTGCGGCAATTAAAATTAATGAGCATTGCAACAAGGCAGCGGGTCAGCATCGTTTTGCAGCGATTCAGGCAAAAAAAAACCATTTATTTGTAGAGTCCTGCACAAAGGCTGCCCCTGCTAGTGCGTGTCGGCTTGCTTGCATATAAATGGCTTACAGAAAAAAAGAAGGTAAATACAGATACCATTATACACATATGTATTTATCGGAATAGCAAAAATTGAATTAACTAGTAAGCCTATGGGCATGTACTCTATAGAATTTGAGTTAGCATAGCGTGCATTCCATTTCTTTCAGTGTGCTACAGCGACGAGAAAGATTTAAAGACAAGTCAAATTTAAGCTGCAGTTATGCCGATTTCAGTCGTGTCGACCTCGATTTGAGTGTTCTGGCCTGCATGCAGCATTTGGGCAGAACAAAACGCCGTGCCGCTGTCACAGGTTTCCCAATCGCCTGACTCAAACCGATTTGTCCAATTATATAGCCCTTGTGGCATAAACCGCTAAATGGCAAATATGCCCGATTTGCACTTGAGATAAAACTGCTTTGGGGTTCTATGAGTTAATGGATATGTACAAAGAGATGATAGGGCTGATTTAAAGCCAGGAGCGAAGCCAGTATACGCGGGACCGGAAATGAGGCATAGATCTACATTTCCTATCGAATACACAAACGACTATTTACCTGCTTTGCTGGAAAAGATACAAGTTATAACTTCGCCCCGTGCCGCTCCTGTACTGTTTGGTAGCCATTACTGACATTCACGGTAGTCCAACAGAAACTCCAATTGTATCTTGTTGATGAATGTGAGCCGTTTAGTGCATCGGGCGCCACGCCTGAGTGGGCCCACACCTAAAGGGCGTTGCGTCCTTCAACTTGTCAGTCGCCCGCTGGCATTCGTTCAACGAATATGGACAACCAGGCATCGGAGCTCATACTCAAGGAGCGGGTCACTATTGGAACCCTGGTAGCAAACAATGGGACTGAAGGCGGCAGCGTGCAGTTGCTCAACAACACATTCGTCTTGGAGCTGCTGTTCGAGATCACCCAATTGTACCACTTCAAGAACTTTATTTTCTACATTTCGGAGAGACTGGATCTCAATAACAAGAACTCCCTGGACTTCTTTTACGACTTCTGGACGACCTTTCCCCTAGCACCGAATTTGATCATAACCCGTGAGCACAATGCAGTCATTCCGATGGTGCAGTTTATCAGCACTCCCTCACTGGTCATGGTCTATACAACGGAACGGGACGATCCCATAATGGAACTGGCAGCGCAAAGCCTGCGGGGAGTGCGCTGGCTCAAGACCATCTTCATACTGTATCCCAAAATGGACACCCGCGACTTCGAAGAGAGCTTCGACGCCTTTACACTGTTCTCAAACGAGGTCAAAGGTCTCTACGACTGGATGTGGAGCAAGCAGTTTATCAACACAGTGCTGATTACCATCAAGAATAATGTGTTCTTGCTGGATCCCTACCCCACACCGTCAGTGGTAAACAAGACAGACTCGTGGCGAGCCGAGGACTTTTTCAAGAAACATAGCAAGAATATGAAGGGCTATGTGGTCAGGACCCCCATCCTCTACGACCTCCCACGTGCCTTCAAGTCCGACCGTCCCACCAATAGCTACGAGAATAACTTTGTTCACGGTACAAGCGGCAACTTGTTTCTGGGATTCCTCGAGTTTGTGAACGCCACGATACTGGACACCAGCACAAACGTGTCCACGAACTATCTGAACCTAACGAATCTCCTAGATCTGGTGGCTCAGGGCGTATACGAGACGCTAATACACTCATTCACCGAAATGCTAGGAAGGTACGTGGTCAGCTACAGCTACCCCATTGGCATCAACGACTGCTGCCTCATGGTGCCTTTCCTCAATCAGTCCCCAACGGAACAGTACATGCGAGAGGCTCTTCAGGACAACGTTTGGCTTTCGATAATTATGTTCGTCTTCTATATAGCCCTGGCCATCTGGTGGTGCTCGCCCTTGCGGCCGCGCGACTTCAGTGCCGCTCTCCTCCAGTCCATCTGCACCCTGACCTACATGGCACCAACCTACATCATTAAGACCCCGACGCTGCGGATGCGATACTTGTATATACTGCTCGCCATCATGGGAATAGTCACGTCCAACATGTACATCTCGAGGATGACCAGCTACTTCACCACAGCTCCGCCGCAAAGGCAAATCAGCACTGTTCAGGATATAGTCGAGGCGAATCTGAGGATCCTGATGATGGGTGTCGAGCACGATCGCATCGCCAAATCGCCCCAGCAGTATCCGGCCAGCTTCTTGAAACAGGTTGACGTAGTGGATAAGCAGGCCTTAGACACCCACAGGGAGCCTTTCAACACGAGCTTCGGCTACACGGTAACCAGCGATCGCTGGCAGTTCCTGGACATGCAGCAGCTGCACTTGCGGAAGCCCATCTTCCGCCTCACAGACATCTGCGAGGGTCCCTACTACCATGTCTACCCCATGCACCGCGACTCCCACCTGCGCTCGCCGATGAAGGAGTTCATTATGGTGGCCCAGCAGGCGGGTCTCATGGACCACTGGCAGCGCGAGGCGTTTTGGGAAGCAGTGCACCTGAATCTTATCAAAGTTCACATTTTCGATGAGGAACCGATCGCCTTGAGTCTGAGCTTCCTCTCGACCATTCTGCGAACTTGGTGCCTGGGCCTGGTGCTGTCCGGACTCGTCTTTGCTGTTGAGATGAAATGGTACGAATACGTGACCTTCAGGCGACGTGTTAGGTTTACCCCTAAGCCAAGATCGTTTCTGAGAAGGTTCATGAGAGGGTGAGGGTGTATTGAGTGTGACGCTTAATAAATATAATAGAAGCACTAGCAGAATTAATTTTAATTGTTTTGAAATATTGAGCAATTGAGCAGTTCCATGGTGAACACAGCTGCAGCTATTGCGCTCATCACCAGGAGATAAATGAAGGCAATGGCCAAATGCTGCATTCCAGCAGCAGTGTACTCCTGGGTGTCCGGGATGCGCTCCACGAGGCCTGCGTGCAGGGCAGCCTCAAAGCTGCTCCGGGCGTAGAAGTTGAGCAGCCCCGAGGAGTGGATGCGGAAGGTGAAGTACTCTATGTCCCGCCACAGAGACGAGTCCATTTGCATGGGAAAGGCCAGGTGATAGGAGCCAAAGCAGATGTTGCTCAGCTTGAAGCGGCGCTGCTTCAGGTGGCTTTGCTGCTCGTCGAGGAACTGCCAGCTATCCTCCGTGATGAAGTACGCAAAGGAGCTGTTGAACCGCGTTTGATGCTGCGCGAAGATGCCAGCGTCCACCGGCCGCAGCAGCTTGCGAAACTCCTCAGGCAGCTCCTGGTTAATCTCCAGCAAAAACTCCATCTCGTAGTCAATGATCATGACTGGCAACTGTGCCCGCACTATGTCGTCCATGGAGTTGATCTGGGCGTGGAATAGATTCACGGTGAGAATGCTGCCCAGAGTGGACGTGTAGTTGGCCGAAAGGAAGAATCCATAGAAGAACACCGTGAAGAGGAGCAGGAAACGCAGCAGGCTCGGCCGCTGAAGCTGCCCTTCAGTGGGTACATTGATAATGTAGCAGAACGAGCTTAGTACTACGGTATGGACACCGGTGGTGTGCCCGAACCTCTTCAGCCAGAACAGCTCAAGGAAGAGCAAAGCAAAGAATGAACCTATGACAAAGAACCAAACCGTCCAATCGAAGGGCTGTAGGGGGTACAAATACGTGGAAACACTGTTGTATAAAGGCACCATCAGGCACCACTGCACCACATGCAGGGGGTAGGTTTTGTCCACCTCGTCGTCCGCCATGAACAGGGCATAGGCATGAGCGCAGAATTCCACCTGGCGATCCCGGACCAGCTGTAGGGCCTGTTTCATGTTGACCACCTTCCCGCCGAGGGCGTCGGGTGGCAGGAACAGCTCCCCAAAGCTCCCATTGATGAACTGGACAAAGGTCTCTATTATCCGGTAGGTGCTGCCATCGTAGTGGCCGCGGGACTCGAACAGATGTGGCAAGTCCTGGCGCAATGGTGTTGGGAAACGATACCCCTCCACATCCGAGCGGGCGTTCTGTATCTTCTTTGCGGCTTCGGCAAGGAATTTCATAATATCAGTGCGATTGATGAACTTCATGGATGGAAACTTCGCAACACCGTAGAGCTGATTGATTCCGTCCTCGGACTCGAAGTAGATAATCGAATTGAAGAACTGCTGGTCGTAAGCAAAGCGCAGGAGATCGTGAACCGGCTTCATGTCCTTACCAACCTTGTCCAACGGCATAATCATCGAGAAGTAGAAGTGGCGACCCAGCAGCACCTTTCTGAACACATCCATTATGGGATCATCTACGCCCGTGGTGAACACAAAGCTTATATGGTTCCTTTTTGCCGGCGATCGATTCATTCGCATCTCCGTGTTGTTGTTTACCACTGTCTGGGTGGCGGACGCCCCGAATGCCTCATCGATGAGGCGAATGAACTGATCAATCTCGTCCACGCTCTGCTTCTGACTTACAAACCACACGATTTCCTGGAATACAGCCATGCGAGCAAAGGGACTCAATAGGTTGTACATGTACCGCAGGTTCCAGCCATGTGTGGACTGAGCAGCGACCAGTGCCAGGAGGCCGACTCTTATCAGAGCCGAGGACCACATGACTTGACCAATGAGGCTCCACGGGGTAATTGAACGGTACGCATTTCGATTTGTTACGCAGGTTAGCCTCAGGCTCAATTAGAAACTCCAATGGGAGTACTTGGGTCATGGCTCCCATGGCAGCAATTAAAACCATGTAAAACAAGAAAATAATAAGCATTCTAATCGCATTCGAGCAGTGAGACATTCATGCCTTGCATATTACAAGACCCCGTGAGTATTTTATGTCTCTGTTGAAGACCTTGGCCTCTTGTTGTGACAAAAAAAAGATTCATTTCTATTTGATCAATATAATTGATAAGCAAATGGTCAACCATAGCATTCAAAGCGATCGTACTGGACCCGCCTCGCCTTCCGCCGATGCACACATATCTCAATGCACCAGGCCAAAAAGCTCACGGGGAAGCCCACAACTAGCACCAGCCAGGCTGTGGTAAAGAACTGCAGATCCAGCGGCTCCACAGGGTATGTGTCCAGAAAGATTTGGGCATAGCCGCCCCGCACGGCGTAGCGAAAGGCCACATCCTCCCAGTAGTTCCAGAGACCAGCCTGCCAGCTGTATAGAATGAAACGATCCAGCGCCAAAGCGAAGCTCGCGTTCCTTCGCATGGGAATCGCATTGAAGAGGCCGCCGAAGCACACACTGGACAAGCGGAAATAGGGCTGGATGAGGACGCGCTGTTGGCGGTTGAAGAACTTCCAGGTATCCTGGGTCACCACATAGGCATAGGACCGTGAGGGACTCGCCAGCAGGGTTTGGTAGTCCTGTCAGCTGCGCGAATCAAGCTGAGGCTCCAGCGAGGAAGTGTCTACAACAGGGAGCGAGCGCAGTTCCTCCAGCAACGACTCCGGTAGAATGATGGGCAGCCGTGAGAAAATCAGATCCGACCAGGTATCAATTGGACGAGTGAACACCGGCTTCATATCGTAGGCTGTCATGTGGCTGGAGTGGTAATTATTGAGAATGAAGCCGAGGACGAACAGCAGCGTGTAGAACAAATTTACGCGCAATGTAGCCTGGCTCAACCTTAGATTCATGTTCATGTTTGGGCTAAACATCAGGATGGCCATGGCCTGGAGCATGTTCCTGGTAAAGGAGCGGGTCGCATTCGCCGATTCGCGCCAGTGCAGATATCTGAGCAGAAAAGCCACATAGAATATGGCAAAAAACAGGGTGGACCAGATGTATTTTCCCAGGGGCCAGACCACGTACATCCACTTGGGCAGCTCCGGGTCCAGCGGCACCATCACACAGCTCATCATCATCTCCAGCGGATAGCTGTACTGCGTTTCTTCGGCAAATTTCTCTTCCTCCATGGGTCTAATGAGAACCCCGTGCAGCGAAAAGTTGTATTGCCCATTGACAATGTCCTGCTCCACCACAGACTTCTTGGGCAAGCCCTCTATTTCGTCCAGCAGCAGTCGATAGCGATTCACCTCGGCAAAGTGTATTGCCATCTCCATGTAGGGCCCACAAAACAGCTGCTCCGCGTAGTTGCTCTCATTGTAAACGAACGCGTGAGGGATGTCGAAGCTGTACGGCGACAGGATACTGTCAACAGCCTGCTCCGTATCCTTCAGCATTTTGTTCCCGACTATTCGTTCTGCCGTGCACCAAACCATATTTATAGCTAATGGTGCAGCAGCAGAGATAGCAAACACGTGTCCATGCACTTGCTATCTGACTGCATTTTAGATCTTAATATGCATGAAAGTTATGATACGCATGGTAAGACTTCAAAGTTCATCAGTGATTGTTGACTGTCACACAGTTTAATGACAGGTTTTTGTGTCATATCGATTCTTGTATAGATTGCAAGGACATACACGTGTAAAACCACCATATGGGCGACATGGCTGCATTGAGGGAGTGTAAAATTATGCGCCACTCTTCACGAATGTAGTTGTAAGCACGGACGGGACGGTCCAGAGCCCAAACATCCTAACCTTTGCACACTTATTGGAGCGCGAAAGCTTTCCCACTCATATTTCATAAAAAACGGTCGGCGGTCAGCTCTGCTTTTTCACATTTGAAAAAGCAGTTCATAAAAAATTCGCGTGAAAAATCCGTGTGTATTCTGTCTTTGTGAGGGCAAATTTCTGGTTCCATGTAAATACTTTTCGGTACAAAAAAAAAACCGAAACGACGAGACCAGCCTTCATTCATTTATCCCACCCTTTCATGGGGAAAACTCGCGTTCACAAATAGCTTTAAAAATAAAAACAAAAGCGCCATTGAAATAATATTGTGCTTATGGGTAATTGCAAAATCGTTAAATGCTATATTCTATGAAACTGGATTGTTCGAGTTTCGGTTGGAGGGATTCGGTTATTGCCAATCGAAACTTTTAAATGGGGATGTCGAATAAGGGAAAGTTCATGGATATGGATAGGGATAGGGATACGTGCTGCATGCAAGCTTACTTTTTGATGGAAAATAAAAATAAGTATTTGCGGGGAGTTTAAAAAGTATTAATTGCACTTGAAGCGTTTATTTAAAAATCCTATTCATGATTATCAGTCGAACATAAGGAGATAATAGCCATATAGCATAGTAATTCATATACTGTAGATGATAAGATTTGGCCTGTAAGCGTTTACTGATGTTCTTATCTCCCAGGGGTAGCAATTTTAGATAAGAGTCGCTTTCGAATCTAATAATTTTAGTTGTATAGGATGCGTGTATATATGTACATATAATGTGTGTATGTATCTTTGTAAAATGCACAACACCTCTCATTATTATTCTGGAAAAGTCAATTATACAAATAACCCAGGGGGAAAGATCATCCACGCAGCTCATTAAACAGCCATTAATTGTTTTAAAGAAATATTGGTTTTTTTCAGGGACGGCAAATTTGAATGCGTAATGAAAATTTTGTCGAGTGTAGCTATGGATGCGTTAATTATGAAAATTGCACCTACATATGTGTGTCCCTAATGATTATGTATAAATCATATAGTTGAGCCTGCCTAAGGTAGATTGAATATGGATCAGAGATACATAGAGTGGATACATTTCTACTTATTTGGGTATTAGTATTTTATACTAGTTTCACTTTACTGTAATATTATACAGAGCAAAGCTGTGCTATGGTACAACAACAAAAAAATGTAGAGAAAAATCAAATAAATGTATTCTTTCAGGGTCGGATGTTCTCAAATTTATTCATGGCTATTTTTAGAACTTTTTTGTTTCGGAAACACAGTCCTCTGTCTGTCGGCCTTTCCGGCACTGATTTCGATTGGATTCTGTTCTCCGAAAAACCACTGACAGCCGCATCAGCAACAATAATACATATAACAGCAGCGAAACACTGCTGAGAGCAAAACGATTTTAAATGCTAAGCCAAGCACCGGTCCCTCCCATTTCTACCCCACCCTACCCCACCTACCCACCTACTGTACTTTGCAAACTGAAATTAATTTATGATCCAAAATCTCGTTTATCGGCTGTTGCTGGGTCGGTCTCTGGGTTTGTCCGTCTTGTTGGTCGGTCGGTGGGGTTTCGTTAGACTTTCACTGGTTGCTACTGCTCTTGTGATTGGTGTTTTGAGAGGAGTCGTTGCTCCATAAACTTTTCGGAGAGCAAGAACTGCAAGCAAGTGGGGCCGCCGCTCTACATATGCGGCTCTTGTGCGCTATTTACAGCGGTACTTTCAAGTGTCTTCGTAGCCGTGATCGTCTAGTGGTTAGGACCCCACGTTGTGGCCGTGGTAACCCAGGTTCGAATCCTGGTCACGGCAATGCTGCAATTAACGCATTGTCACGGAGAGGACATCTTTTTTCGTTTCGTTTTTTTTTTGTATTACTTTCTGATGGTTTATAATAGTTACACTTTTAAATCTTTTACTGAGATTAGCTACTATGGGTTGTGTATGGTTTATTGGTGGCTTTGTGTGGATCGAGGAATGAAGCACCTGTTCCTGGACTGCTTTTCGTCCTTTGCTGCGGCAATTCCCCGTGGCTTGCCACTCCAACGGCGGCTGGCATTGACTGGAATTTTAATTTAATTGTCAGCAATTGACAGAAATACACAAAATCCACTTCGGAGTGTCGACCAAACGATATTAAGACGCCAGCAGCTGGTGTTGACATAAAAACGCAATAAAAATACGTCCCGTCCTCAAAACGAAACGTGAGATCGTATGGCCAATGGAAAGTCGAAGCTCGAATACCCTTTTGTGGAGAACGCCCTTAAGACGCAGAGCACACTCCTACAATAGATTGAATTGCTCCTAAGCCAACTACAACTTATGCTTATAATGCACATCTAACTTTTCTGGAATATTTTCATGATATTCTGCAATTACCTCTTCCTCAATGAAAAAGAGAGTAGGGTATCGTCGGAAAAATCACTTAAAATCAATTGAATGTGACCAACAGTGTTTGGCTGTACCAATGACGAGAATTACAGTGAAAATATCGACGACAATGCGTTTTGTTGGCGTTGTGCAGCCACAGCTTATTGGATTTTCGCCGTGAGAAGCTGTTGACAACATTTGTTAGTCACTATTGGAGCAGAGGGCTACGGCTTCCGACAGTGACAGTGACAGTTGGTATGAGGAAGCACTGATTAAACACAGGGACATAAGCCTCTATAAGTGTCCGAAAGTCCTGCGGTTGGAAACGCTTGTCTTCCACAGCACGTCTTATTGAAATCGAACATTTGTGTAAATAACCGCTCACGCACATGCAAGTGGGAGACAATTATGTATATTATTTACCAAACACAATACACAAGAGCACAATGGAATGGCCGTTTCCCTGCCGTTCCAATGAAAATAAAGCAAAAATACAAATATTAACCGCAAAAGCGATGCTCCCATCTGCCATTTTGTCCCTTGGCTCCATCCTCCTTTGAATGTGACGTGGGTGTGTGCAGTCGCCTGTATTTATGCATTTATAGTCGTTCATCTGTGGGTGTACGAGTATGCATATTGAATGGATAAAGGGGATTTGCGTTTATTTCGTCCTGGGTCTGGCCCGGTTACTCGCCT